AGGAAGGAAGGAAGGAAGGAAGGAAGGAAGGAAGGAAGGAAGGAAGGAAGGAAGGGAGGGCAATAGCACTTGGACTTATATACCGCTTTATAGTGCTTTCCAGCCCTCTCTGAGCAGTTTACAGAGCCAGCCTGTTGCCCCCAACAATCTGGGTCCTCATTTGACCCACCTCGGAAGGAAGGAAGGAAGGAAGGGAGGGCAATAGCACTTGGACTTATATACCGCTTTATAGTGCTTTCCAGCCCTCTCTGAGCAGTTTACAGAGCCAGCCTGTTGCCCCCAACAATCTGGGTCCTCATTTGACCCACCTCGGAAGGACGGAAGGCTGAGCCAACCTGGAGCCGCTCAGGATCGAACTACTGGCTGTGGGCAGAGTGAGCCTGCAATGCTGCCTTCTAGCCACTGCGCCACCATGGATGCACAGATAAACGTTTCTCCAAGCGGCTTCAACAACAAGGGCGCTAATAACCACCTGTCTGCAAGGAGTATCAATCTTTCCCTCCCCACCCCCATCCAGTCGGAGCTGATGAAGCTTCTCGGATGAGGAGCGAAACGTCTTCAAAAGGAGAAAAAACAACAACAAGAAAGTCCAGTTGCCTCCTGGGGAAAAAAAGCACTTTTGGGACAACCTGGAGGACGGAGAATCTCTACTACAGACTTTCAACTGCTGGTACCCCCCAATGGGATGACTTCCACATCGTTTTTGAGCTTTCCATAAGAGAGGAGAGATGGCAGAGGGCGCTAAGGGTGGCTGGGGGTTGGCCCCCCCAAATTTGCTGCGCCGTAATAAACTGAGGACCGATGCTTTTCCCCTCCTTAGGCTAAAGCAGCTGAACCTGGACAAAAACGGAATTAAGGAGGTGCCGTACCTCCATTACTCGGGCCACGATCATTTCTCCATCCATCCTTTATCGGCCAAGTCGGGCATCCGAGCGGGCTTGCGGTGCCGGAAAAACTCTCCCTCCAAGCGTCCCCTGGGTCGGTCCCCCAGGATAAACCAGCAATACAGTTACGCTATAACTCAGAACGTCCAGGATCCGGAGAAGACAGGTGTGGGCCTCCTTCCAGCTGTAAAAAAGTAATATTTACTCACTCGGGGTGGGATGCATCCCTCTCTTCCTCGGGAGGTTTCTGGTATTAAGTTTTATTTTTTTCCTTTCTTATGCATTCCCCAATATACATTCTTGTAAATGCTATTAACATTTTATCTATTAACTGTTTGATTTTGATCACCATCTTCTTACAAATATAGAAAGCACACTTGGGGGGGTCCCTTTCTTGCCACCCCGTATGATCTCCACCTTTCTCCTTCCGCCTTCTCTGCCTTCTCTTTCTCTCCTTCCTCTTTTCTTCTTCCCTTCCCTTTCCCGCACTCCTCCTCTCCTCTCCTCCTCCTTTCCCTCTCTCCTACTCTGACTTCCCCTCCCTTACTTCCTCTGCTTTCCCCTTTCTTCCTTTCCCTCCTCTTCCTCCTTTCCTTTCCTTTCCCTGAGTCCCCTTCGGGGGGAAAAGGGTGGCATATAAATTTAATAGAAGAGCCGAGGTGGCGCAGTGGTTAAATGTAGCACTGCAGGCTACTTCAGCTGACTGCAGTTCGGCTGTTCAAATCCCACCGGCTCAGGGTTGACTCAGCCTTCCATCCTTCCGAGGTGGGTAAANTAGACTAGAAGACCTCCAAGGTCCCTTCCAACTCTGTTATTCTGTTAAATTCTGTTTTGACCGAGCTGCTTAGCGTTCGTGGCGGCTACAGGCCAACATTCCTTTGAATTTTCTCTCCAAGTAAGAGAAGCTACGGAAGTGTTGCAGACATCAAACCTGGGATGAAACTTCCAATCCTCCCTGTGTTCTTTCTTGTTGCCCCACCCATAGACACAATCCTCCCAGATGGAAGTTGGAATTAAAATCGACAGTCTTTGAGAATTGCAAATTGGCCAGTTGGAATTGACAAAGTCACTCGTGTGCTGTTGTCCCAAAGGTGATTTTTCTAGAGGCAACTGGACTTCCTTGTTCTTTCTTTGAAGAAATTTCGCTTCTCCTCCAAGAAGCTTCATCATCTCTGACTGGATAGTGGGGAAGGGAAGGATTGATGCTCCTTGCAGACAGCTGGACATTTGCATCCTTTTAGAGGGTCCTTGAGGCCACTTGGAGGTTTGTCCGTGTCCTCAGGGTCCCCTGAAATGGTGCAAATGGTTCCTGTAGTCCAAACTTTTTCCTCTGGAAGTCCATTCCTTTTCCCACACTATTCCAAGGGTCTTCATCCTAAATTGTATAGCTAAAAAGTCTGAAGAGATTCTCTGTCTTTTGCTTAAGGATCTAATTTGGCTTTAAGGAAACATTTATTTGTACACTCTTTTGCAAAATAGAAAAAATACATCACCAGATGGACTCACTTTCTCTTTTCACTTCCTTCCTTCTGGAGCGTCCCGATTTCATCCGCCTGGGGGCTGCCTCTTTACTGCGGGCTTGAAGTACTTCCCTTGGGTCTATCAGGGATTTTGCAATATCCCTGAGACCAGCAAGGCTTTGTCTTCCTGATCACCGTCTCTACGGGACGTTTTAGGTCTCAATGGACCCCCCAGTGGCAAAAGTATCAACGGCGGTCTCAGAGTATCGAGACCACACGTTGTAACATCACGACGTGGCTCCTCCACAACTGGATTTCCTTGTTTTTTTCTTTGAAGATGTTTCGCTTCTCATCCAAGAAGCTTCTTCAGCTCTGACAGCTCTGATAGTGTGAACATGCTTTGAATGCCCCCCCCCACCCCCCAGTCAGGGCACTCTTTCTGAAAGTCATTGATAAATGCCCAGGTTTATAGCCATAGCATTTAAGACTTATTTGCCACTTCACAGTATTTTTTCAGCCCTCTCTAAGCGGTTTATAGTCAGCCTGTTGCCCCCAACAATCTGGGTCCTCATTTGACCCACCTCGGAAGGACGGAAGGCTGAGTCAACCCTGAGCCAGTCAGGATCGAACTGCTGGCAGTGAGCAATGAATTAGCTTGCAGTACTGCATTCTCAACCACTCTGTCAGGAAGGAAGGAAGGAAGGAAAGAAGGAAAGAAGGAAAGAAGGAAAGAAGGAAAGAAGGAAGGGGAATGGGGGAAGAAAAAGGAAAGAAGGAAGGAAGGGAAGGAAAGAGAATGGGGGAAGAAGAAGGAAGGAAGGAAAGAGAATGGAGAAGAAGAAGGAAGGAGAATGGGGGAAGAAAAAGGAAGGAAGGAAGGAAGGAAGGAAGGAAGGAAGGAAGGAAGGAAGGAAGGAAGGAAGGAAGGAAG